AAAAACATTAAAGTCAGGCTACCGAACATTTGAAAGTAGTTTTTTTTATTATAAGTTGACGTGATTTTTGCGGCCTCCATAATCAATCTTGATCTTTCTAATTATTAAACTTAAAACAACACTCTCTGTGAAGCCTCCTGTCCGTAGAGGAAAAGCCGTGAACAGTAAGCGCTTTATTCGTGCCAAAAAGACGAGGGAACTGCAATGGCAATTTCTGGCTCATTAACCGTAATCAGTCAGTCATAACCAACTCCAAGTGGTGCACCACCCGAGGCTCGAAGTCACGATCTTCTCAATTTAGAGTCTAACGCTCTACCCATTGAGCTATGAGCTCGTTTACTTGCCGGTTTAGGTCGGGAGCCATTGACAATCCTTGACGAACTTTCACTAACGGAGCTCACTTGTCCCGTTCTGCCGTTTTCAGCACAACTTTCAAGTATACAATTCATTAGTAGACTGAAAAATATGGGTCAGACCGAACAGGTTCTGTTCCAACCACTTTATGGTTAAGCTAATGTTGTAAAAAAGTTACAGATCACAAGATGGCTTGTTGAAGTATACCCAGGCATTTCTTTGCGAATTGTTTCATGGAGCGCTGCAACTCGGCGGGTCGAAGGGCTTGAATAACTAGGAGGACCTGGAAGGGCGTGAGAGGTAAGTCACTCAACGCTGCGGGGAGGCGACCCTCTTCGGCATCTCTCGAGGTCATCCACCGCGACCAAACCTCTTCATTGTCGAAAAGCAGTCTCTCATAAAGTTCGGGCTGTCCGGCCTAAAAGATCACGTAAAATAGATGTGAAGTTGAGAGGCATCTTCATCAAAATAGTCTAGCACAAGACATTAGGAGCTCGCTTATTGTCATATCTGCAGTTGATTAAGTAAATATGTGGCAGCCTGAATTCGGTAGTGCTGCGCTGGTTCATCTCGTTTTCACTCTCCAAACCGTTGTCTACCGGCGGGCCCAGCGCTGACTCATCCTCTTATACTTGCACGCTCTTGTACGTTTGCACATCCGCTGTCGACGCGCGCACGTCCGAAGTTAATCGATTCCTCACGAGCTCTGATGCCAACAACAACCCCCCTTTCCTGATTTGGTGAGGACTGGACAAGCTTCACTAAACCCGCGCACATAGACACTTTTTCACCGACGCGACTGGCTTCTGTACGCGGCGCTTGCAGCATCTATTGTAAAGCTATCTGGGCTAGGTAAAGTTGTTCCAATTCATTCTGTCTTCCCTGACTTGTGATTTGGGCATGCTTCCGATGTCGATACAGCAACTAGCTCTCGATAAATAAACATAAATTAATGCATTGGTAACTAAAATAGACGAGAATTTAGGCGTTCGAAAACCCCTTAAACCGAACTTGTTAGTTAAAAGTGGTAGATTTCAACCGTGCCATGCAATTTATTTGTTTTTCCAACACAACGGATCTTACTGATCATGACTAGTTTGTCATTAATTAAATACAAATTTCCTGCAGGACTACCGATGAATTGTGCGGAAACTGTTTTGTAGAGAGGATAACCTCTATCTTGCTCTTTACTCCCGCACTCACAATGTCAAAATTAAGGTACATTCGATACCAGCCAACATGCGAGTCCCAGGAAGTAATTGAGAAGAAGAAGCTTCGATCGCTGGGACAAAATGTTTAGTCACCTGACGTTTCGAAATCCATCGCGGATGATTCATCAGAGACATGAGCAAAAAAGAGTAAGTGAAACGATCGATACATGCACAGGAAGTTGTAGTATTTATCGCTGGGGGTTAAGTAGGTTAAACCCGGGTAACTACGATCTTCAGACTATGGTTCCTTGGGAGAGGAAAGGTCGGTGGAGGCCAGAGAAACAGGAATGGAGAATAAGCAGGAAGAAATTTAGCTTTTTAATCTCCGGAGAAATTGATTTCTGATTGCGGTATATATCAGTATATTGAAGGTTTATAGGCGTAGACCG